TCCCAAAGGCCGGGTGGATAGTTTCCGGTCTGGCTAGTACTGATACTGCTGTTATTCTGAGGAACTCTTGTACACATTTCTGGTTTATACATATCTAGGAGTGGAATTGTTGGGATAGGTTCAATTTAATTAGGTCACTTTTCTCATACCAGCTGTGTGAACCAAGGCAAGTTATTTAGCTTCTCTGAGACTCACTTTTCCTATCTGTATATTGGAAATAAACAGACTGGCTCCTCAGTGTGGTGGCCAGGTCTTAATAAAATAATATCTGCAAGGCACCTGGCCCAAATGGAGCTCCCCTCTTTTTCCGCTCCTTCCTCTCTCAGCCAGAGCCCCAGAAAAAAGTTTTATCCGCTAGGCTCCCTCTTTGCCGGGAACCCTCAAGCATAAACTTGGAAAGCTCGCCCGTTTTTAACTGACAAAGAATACTTGTATATATTTACGGGGTGTGATGTGATGTTTTGATATACGTATGCACTGTGGAATGATTAAATCAAACTAATTAACATATCCATCACCTCACATAATCTTTTGTGTGAATGTGTGTGTGTGGTGAGAACGTTTAAAATCTACTATTTTTCTCAATTTTGAAATAGAGAAAATTGTCTAGTATTCCATTGTGTGTCTTTTCCATAATTTACCTAATCTCCCAAAGGCCGGGTGGATAGTTTCCGGTCTGGCTAGTACTGATACTGCTGTTATTCTGATGAACTCTTGTACACATTTCTGGTTTATACATATCTAGGAGTGGAATTGTTGGGATGGGTTCAATTTAATTAGGTCACTTTTCTCATACCAGCTGTGTGAACCAAGGCAAGTTATTTAGCTTCTCTGAGACTCACTTTTCCTATTTGGAAATAAACAGACTGGCTCCTCAGTGTGGTGGCCAGGTCTTAATAAAATAATATCTGCAAGGCACCTGGCCCAAATGGAGCTCCCCTCTTTTTCTGCTCCTTCCTCTCTCAGCCAGAGCCCCAGAAAAAAGCTTTATCCGCTAGGCTCCCTCTTTGCCGGGAACCCTCAAGCATAAACTTGGAAAGCTCGCCTACTGCTGCCCAGGGCTGTTGGAGCTGCCTTTTTTGCCAGCCTGTTTGCCAGCTCTCCTTTGTNTCCAAGGAAGTGCAGCATACATACAGAAAAGTGTGCAAATCCCAAATGGATGTGGATGAATATTTTCACAAAGTGAACAGGCTTATGTAACCAGCACCCAGTTCAAAAGACAGTGCACAAATGCTGGTCAGCTGAGTGAGCTGAGTGAGCTCAGGTGGTTAGAGTGCAGTGTTACAACACCAAGGTCAAGGGTTCGGATCCCTGTACCAGCCAGCCGCAAAAAAACAAAGAACACAGAACACAACCTGGACCTGGAAAGTCTTCTCTCCACCCGGCCAAGGGCAAACACCATCCTGACTTCATATATCACAAGATTTGTTTTGCCTTTTTTTGTTTGTTTGTTTGGTGTTGTGTAAACCAAAGTTCACATTGTGTGAGACATACACAAGTTGATTTGGGTAGTTATAAGTTTGTTCATTATCATGACTGTCCATTTGATTTTTAATTGACAAAGAATACTTGTATATATTTACGGGGTATGATGTGATGTTTTGATATACGTATGCACTGTGGAATGATTAAATCAAACTAATTAACATATCCATCACCTCACATAATCTTTTGTGTGAATGTGTGTGTGTGGTGAGAACGTTTAAAATCTACTATTTTTCTCAATTTTGAAATAGAGAAAATTGTCTAGTATTCCATTGTGTGTCTTTTCCATAATTTACCTAATCTCCCAAAGGCCGGGTGGATAGTTTCCGGTCTGGCTAGTACTGATACTGCTGTTATTCTGATGAACTCTTGTACACATTTCTGGTTTATACATATCTAGGAGTGGAATTGTTGGGATGGGTTCAATTTAATTAGGTCACTTTTCTCATACCAGCTGTGTGAACCAAGGCAAGTTATTTAGCTTCTCTGAGACTCACTTTTCCTATTTGGAAATAAACAGACTGGCTCCTCAGTGTGGTGGCCAGGTCTTAATAAAATAATATCTGCAAGGCACCTGGCCCAAATGGAGCTCCCCTCTTTTTCTGCTCCTTCCTCTCTCAGCCAGAGCCCCAGAAAAAAGCTTTATCCGCTAGGCTCCCTCTTTGCCGGGAACCCTCAAGCATAAACTTGGAAAGCTCGCCTACTGCTGCCCAGGGCTGTTGGAGCTGCCTTTTTTGCCAGCCTGTTTGCCAGCTCTCCTTTGTGATTCAGTCACTGGTGCCAACCTCCACATTTGCTTGCTGTGCTCACTATCACCTCTATGATTCTTTATGATTGTTTTCCTGGGGACAAGCCCAGTGGACCCAGGGATGAGGAGGAGGGGAGGGAACAGCTGGCTGAGATCTAGCCAGACATTTAGAATAGAAATTCCTTTCTTGCTTGGACTCTTCTCCCAGATCTCCAGGAAGGTGTTTTAAGCCTCTGTATTTCCCTACTCTTTCTGAAACATCTTGAGTTGGGCCATGAGGGTGAGAGTGGGCCTAGTGGAAGCCCTGCCTTCAGGGGGCTCTGCCGAGACAGAGCAAGATAGAGCTGATTCTGTCACTGTTCTGGCAGCCTAGAGCGTTATGTTGGGAGGGCTCCTGGAGGTGTTGTCCAGGCTCCGGAAGGAGTGCTGTGATTGATTAGTGATGTCTGTTATGTGCATGAGAGGTGCCAGCTCACATTTCACGTTTGCTATCACTTCTGGTTCAAAGATATTTTCTGTTATTGATCAAAATGGACATGTATTTGATTCAGTAAGTTAAATAGGATGTTTTTAAACAGGTGAGTTAAATCCCTTTACATTTATATGATTTGTTAACATATTTGAATTGATTTCTACCATTTATTTAAAATTTTTAATACACCTATTTCTTATTCAATGTTTCTATCTTCCTGACAATACCCTCCCTGAACCTTTTATTTAAACTATAAGTTTTAAAAAAATCATTTTAAATGCAAAAATTGATTATTTTCTCAGTTGATTAAATTTGTTTACATATTTTATGAATTTACTATCATTGTTTTTCTTACCCCATTACATTTTCTTCTTGCTGAGTGATATCACCACTACAACTAGTAGTTAGCTTTAATTGAGGGCTTCATATGTATTAGACACTGTCCTAATAATCTTACTTGTTTTAAATCACTTCATCCTCCTCACAATCATATGAACTTATCATCTCTTCTTTGTGGATGAAGATACAATCACAAAGTCTAGCAGCCAACAGGTGGTAGAGCTGAGAGTCAACCCCAGACAGTATGGCACAAGAGTCCATTCTTGTATCTACCATGTTGCTCTTTGCTCTGTGTGTGTGTGCTTAAACTTTTTATTTTGAAATTATTTTAGATTCACAGAAAACTTCAAAGATAGTATGTAGAATTCCCATATACCCTTCACCCAGCTTCCCCTAATGTGAACATCTTACAAAGCTATGATGCAGTTAACAAAAGTAAGAAGTCAACATTGGTACAATACTATTAGTTAAACTCCAGACTTTATTTCACAAGTTTTCACAAGTTTTTCCACTAATGTCTTTTTTTGTTCCAGAATCCAGTCCAGGATACCATACTGTGTTTAGTTTATATATGAGAATACTTTTAAAAATTGGTGGAAAAATAGATTTGGAAGATAACTATGAATTTTTCCATGAACTTTCTGAAGTACCCTCAAAAATATTTAAAACTTTTTATTATGAAAGATTTTTTTTTTCCTTTTTGTCTTTTTTCGTGTCCAGCAACGGATCGCAACCCTCAGTGTCACGCCCATACCGGACCGGGACCAGCAACGGGATCACAACCCTCAGTGTCACACCTGCACCTCGCTCAGCCAGTGAGCGGGAACCGGTCTGTATGTGGGATCCGAACCCTTGGCGGGAGCGCCGCCGCACGCCCAAGCGGCACACTGTAGCAGTGCGCCACCGGGCCGGCCCTTTCTAGTGAAGAAGTCTCTTTTCTTTGCAGAAAAAGCAAACTTTATCTGTGAGGGATCAGATAGTAATCAGTTTAGGCTTTGTGAGCAGACCCCTGTTCTAGTGTACCCTTGAAGAGAAATTTTCTGCAAATAAAAGCATATACATATTCATGTCTGTATAGACTATTCCAAACTTGTCTTTTATCAGTTAAACCAGGGGTTGGCAAACTGTGGCCCACTGGCCAAATCTAGTCCGCCACCTGCTTCTGTAAATAGTCTTATTGGAACCTACAATCATTTGTTTACATATTACCTATGGCTGCTTTCATGCTACAATGGCAGAGCCAAGTGGCTGTGACAGATGCCACCTGCTTCTGTAAATAGTCTTATTGGAACCTACAATCATTAGTTTACATATTACCTATGGCTGCTTTCATGCTACAATGGCAGAGCCAAGTGGCTGTGACAGACTGCATGGCTGGCAAAGCCTAAAATATTTACTATCTGGCCCTTTGCAGAAAAAGCATGCTGACCTCTGAGTTAAACAATATTCCTTAGTCTTTCCATATTAGTACAAAAAGCTTGTTTTTTTTCATGGCAGCATACTATTTCACTATGGTTGCACCACAATTCATTTAATTAGGCCATCCCAATGGATATTTAGGTCATTTCTGACCTTTTCCTGGCACAGATGCTGCTGCAATGAATAACCGTGTACTTACCTCATTTTCCACATGTGTAAATATATTTACAGGATGAAGTCCTGGAATTGAACTTGCTCAATCAAAGCCTATGTGCATTGATAATTTTTATAGCTATTGTCAAGTTGCCCTCCATGGAGATTGTATCAACTTATTCTCACCAATGTTATGAAAATGGCTGTTTTGCCTCCCCCACTCCCTTTCCCAGCTGAATATTTTTAAGCTTTTTGTGATTTGCCAATCTGCTAGGTGAAAAAGAAAAAGGTGTGCTAGTGTAGATTACTTTGCATGCCTTTTATTCTGATGAGGTATGTATCCTTTCAGGCATTTAGGAGATATGTGTTTCTCCTGCTGGCATTTTACTCTCCTGATCTGAGAGTCTTCTGGGTGCTGGTCTCCTCTCTCTCTGACTCTCTTGTGTTACTGTCACAAAAAAGCTTTTTGGGAAGAAAAGTCTTGAGAACAAACATAGGGGGGCAATTAGCACCATCAACATTCCAGATATTGGGGTTGGAAAGCCAGGGGGAGACCTGAAGGAGGTCATCATTCTGCTCTGAACTTGGAAGATTAGCTTTCAGAGGGCTCAAGGTGTCCTTTTCCTCCACGGAGCTTCTGTTGACACAGGCAGCCTCATGTTCCTCCAGCTTTTTAATGGGGACCACATGGCAGGCATTATATTTGCAGCTGGCCATCTTTTTGGCTTTCTTGGGGTTCTTTCTCCTGCATAATGCCAGGTGGTACTGGAATCTGCTGTGTGGGATTTGGTGGTGAGGATTATAAGGGCAAATTTCGAAGGCTTCTGGCTCCATGAGAAATTGTTCTTGAAGTAGAGTGTCTCACTGCCCAGAGTCTAAATGAAATGTCCCACGTGGAAAAGTCCTGTTGTAAGGATGTAGCTGTCTTCTGCCCAGCGTTGGCCCTTGGAACGTTGTAGACGAAGGTCTTAACTTGTGGTCCCCTTTCTCTGGGGTCACGAGTAGGGGATTAGAGGAGGGATGAGGAGCTGTCAGAAGTAGCTACTCAGAGAACAAAGCTAGCAAATGGCACGTGAGAGAGAAAAACTGCAGGAACCAAAAAAACATAGTGGCTGTGCAGGAAGGTGAAGAAGATATGTGCCCACTCCCCTTGACTCTGAGGGATACACTGTGTGATGTCAAGGAGCAGTCACAGGTAGTCACAATGCACAGCTTAAGTCACAGGAAAGGACTTCTTGTTCACCACTTGGGAGGGGTGAATGGCTTTGGGAAAAGCTGCCATTCAAATTGTTCATTACATATATGTTGTCAGTTAAGTCTTTTAACTGTCCATATTTGTTTAATATAATTCCCAATATATTTAGTTTAATCTACCATCTTACTTTGTACTTTCTAACCTATTCTTTGGTTTATTTCTTTCTCCTTCCCTCTCTTATTTTAAATAAGCAGTTTTTAAAAATCTTTCCATTTTTTCTGCTATTTTGTACGTTCTCTAATTTAGTAATTATGTTGCAAATGAAAACATTCATATTTAACTTATCAAGGTTTGAAGTTGATGAATATTTTACCCTTTTCCTGGGTAATATAGGGCTTTTTCTTTATTACCCTCCTGACTTATTATGTTTTCCCCCCTGTGTTTTAAACCTCATTTAAAAAAACTTCATTACATTTTACCCTTTTCCTGGGTAATATAGGGCTTTTTCTTTATTCCCCTCCTGACTTATTATGTTTTCCCCCCTGTGTTTTAAACCTCATTTAAAAAAACTTCATTATTGCTACTGTCATTTTATATTGTCATGGTTCATTTACACTTGTCTTCATATTTATTCCTCTTTGCTATTCTGTTCCTCCTTGCATCTCAGACTTGCCATGTGGGGTCACTTTCTTTCTACTTGAAGTTTAACTTTCAGAATATTCTCTTGATAAACTCTTTTGGTTCTTTTGTCCTGAAAATGTCTTTATTTCACCTTCATTCTTGAAAGATATTTTAGCTGAGTATAATTGTGTTATTTTCTTTCTTCATGTTGGAGTGGAGTCCAATTTCTTCTAGCTTCCACTGTTGAGGTTGAGAATTCAGATATCTACTGTTACCTAACCTCTTTTGAAAGTAATCTATTTTTTTCTGTCTTTTAAATAATTTTTCTTTTAGTATTTCTAGTTTCATCGTGATGTCGAGCTGTGGATTTCTTTTTATTTATTCTTCTTATTTATTTGTTAGACCTCTTGAATCTATGGATTAGTGTTTTTCATTACTTTTGGAAAATGCTCAGCCATTGTTTCTTCAAATATTACTTCTTTCTTAATTTCTCTCTCTCTGCCCTCTTCCTGGGAGCTCCAATGCTAGACTTTCTCACTGTATCTCTGTAGCAGCATCTCATACCCTCTCTTCTGTATTTTGTATGCTGTGTTCTGTATAATTTCTGATTTATACTCTAGCTCACTATTTCTGTCTTCTGCAATGACTAATCTGTTGCCAAATATGTCCATTGGTTTTGTATTTCTAGAGGTTTCTAGAGGTTTTGGTTGTTTTTCAAAACTGCAATCTCACTTTGTGTAATTTCTTTTCCCTGCAGGTATTTTCAGGTTTTGTTGTTCATTTCTTTAAGCATGACAACCTGAGTTGTTTTAAAGAGCATGTCAGGTACCTCCAGTGTCTGAAGCCTGTTTCACTGTCCATTTTTGCCAAGTTTTCACTGATGTGCACTGTTCCTCTGTGTTCTGGTTGTTTTGATGGCTTGCTGTTTATTGTCCTTGAAAAATTACTTGTAGGGATTTTCCAAAGCTTAGGACAGATGTGCCTTCCTTCAGAGAGGCTTTGCCAGGCACCTAGTGGGCACCATAGTCAGGGACCACCTCAATCCATGGCTTCCTTGGCTGAGTCAGGATTTTTGTACCCAGTATATATGGCATAAGGGCTGGTCCATGGGCAGGGGGCTCAGGGTTGTCTTCCTTTATCCTCCTGCTCTACTGATGCCCAAGGTAGCTTTTTACATCTTTGGCGTGGGGAGAAGGGTTTAGATCTATCTGCATAGCCCTGAAGGTGGAACCCTTTGGAGTTCCAGCTTAACATGGGAAACATTTCCTATAAAACTCCTCGTATTGGATGTTGTCCTGCTTACACCACACAGGACTGAACCAAAGTCCAGATGTATACTCTTGGCAAATATCCCAGGGGGTAAATGGTTTTGGCTCTCTGACATTCTGCTTACTTCTCTGGTTTTAGGTTTTTATTTAAAAATTGGCCTTGAGTTTCCTACTGTTAAACTGTTTCTTGAGCTCTGAGTGATAGAAGAGAAATACCAAATTCCTGAATGGGAAGACTTAAAATAATAAACAAATACAAATATCCTCCCCCAATTAAATGATATAAATTACATAGTCACCCTAAATGAATCTATACATATAGTACAATTCCAAATAATTAATTGTAGTAGCTTTATTTTATGTGCTGATATCTGGTGGACCAAATCCCTCCTTGTTATTATTTTATTCCAAAAAAAGCTTTGACTATCCTCAAGGATTTATTCTTCTAGATCAGATGTCAATAAACTATGGACCACAGGCCAAATCCAGGTGGCTGGCTGTCTGTTTTTGTAAATGAACGTTTATTGGAACACAGCCACACCCATTTGTTTACATATTGCCTATTGGCTGCTTTTGAGCTAGATTTGGATAGTTACAACAGAGTCCAGATGCCCCACAAAGCCTCAAATATTTTGTCTGGCCCATTACAGAAAAAGTTTGCCAACCCTTTTCCTGATGAATTTTTTTTTTTAAAGATGACCGCTAAGGGGATCTTAACCCTTGACTTGGTGTTATCAGCACCATGCTCTCCCAAGTGAGCCACGAGCTGGCCCTTATTTCTGGTGAATTTCGCAATCAACTTCACAATTCTTTCCCCCTCCCTTAATATGTTGGTGATTCAAAAAGCAGACAGGGTGCCGGCCCGTGGCTCACTTGGGAGAATGTGGTGCTGATAAAACCAAGACCACAGGTTCGGATCTTTATATAGGGATGACCGGTTGCCTCACTTGGGAGAGTGTGGTGCTGACAACACCAAGTCAAGGGTTAAGATCCCCTTACTGTCATCTTTAAAAAAAAAAGCAGACTGCTTGGATATAAATCCTCCCTCCCACCACTTTTCAGCCATGTGAACCATGGTGCTGACAACACCAAGTCAAGGGTTAAGATCCCCTTACTGTCATCTTTAAAAAAAAAGCAGACTGCTTGGATATAAATCCTCCCTCCCACCACTTTTCAGCCATGTGAACTTGGGACATGTCTGTGTGTTTGTGTTTGTGTGTGTGTGTATGAGTACTGCCTCGTATTTACTAAGCTCTATTGATAGTGTCTTTTCAGGTATGTTTTGTAGATTTCTTCATGTTGGTCTTGCACATTTTGATAAATTTAATTTTAGATGCTTCCTAGTTTTTCTTTCTTTTTTTGCTGCGTAAATGGTACTTTTTTCCACCTCTTTGCCTCCTGGCCATGGTGTTCAGCCCATCCTAAGCCTTGAAGTGATTGTCTTTGTCCACATTGTGACATAGTTGTAATGTGACCGTGAATGTGGGATGTCTTGTTACTATCATGTGACATGTGGACAACACAGCAGCATGACACTCACTGGTGTCATAGTAAGAAATCAAAATGGAAACCCAGGTTTAGATAAAGGATTAGACAAAGGAGTCTAAAAAAGGCAGCTTTCACAACCACGTTGTTTAATTATTCTGGGTGTGCCAGAATAGGCAAGGTTAGGCTGCAGTAACACATAGCACCAAAACTTTAGGGGCATAAAGCAATAAAGGTTTTCATCTCACTCCCATCTCAGGTCCAAGGTATGTGGCTGGGGTGGAGAGGGGGATGGGACCTGCTCACTGTGGTCAGTGGGACCTGGGCCGATGGAGCCTCCATGGCGAAGCATGCTTCCTTCCAGAAGGAAGGGATATGGTGAATCAGGCAGTGGCTTTTAAGCTTCCATCAGGAAATGATAAATGTCACTTCTGTTGACATTTCATTGTCCAGAATAAGTCCTATGGCCACACCTAACTTCAAGGTCTAGGAGGTACAGTCCTGCCACATGCTCAGAAGTAGGAGAATAGGAACTTTGCCAAGAGTCCTAAGTACTTCCCCAGCCTCCTCCTCTCGTCACCAGTATTCATTTCCCTTTTCCCCACACATGCAGAACACACTCCCTCCTCCCTGGAGGAGAAAACCCCAAGCTCTTGCTCAGAGTGTGTATGTTGGGCTGGGGGAAGATGGGATCAGTAGCTCGGTCAGTGCTTGCTTGGGCTTCTTGAGATCTGGCAGGACCTTACCCCAGACAGGTAGAATTCTAGCACCTCCAACCAAACAGTCTCCTGTGAGGAGTCGTGCTCAACCCACTGACCCCAGGGCTGTCTCCTGGGTTGATCTGCTGAGAAGGCATCCTTGGTACACCTTCCATACCATTTATGTGATAGAGAGTCTGTTTTCTCCAAATCTGCACCCCAGTATCAGAGAAACTCCGACACTGGTACAACTGGGAGTTAACAGGTGGCCCAGCATCTGTCCTCATGTACCTCCAAAGCCTGGCATGGTGTCTGCTACAGAAGATGATGGCACCTTTTTTCATGCTCATGGCCAGGGTGTCCTAGGCTGGAGTATTGGGCCTCTGAAAGTCTGCATATGGAGATCATGAGGAAAGCACTTCACCCACCATTGAAATCCACATAATAAGGAATAAGGCATTAGTGGTTGCAGGTTTCTTTGTGGTCAAGCACCAATTAGTGCAGCAGGCTGGCATTTAGTCCATTATGAAGAGAGGGAAGGCTGGGGTTGTTTGTGCTTCTAATGGG